TTTTGTGCATCATTTATTCATTATTTAATTCTTTCTTTTTCATTATTTAAGTAATTACTTACTATAAAAAAAAAAAATTTTGTGCAATATGTCATGTAATATATTGCCTTAAATAAATTTTTATTGATTAAATGGATTTAAAAAAAATTTATATTTCATAAAACTTAATACAATATTATACATGAACACACAGCTAAATAATGATATCAATTAATACTGAAGTATAGCATTTTTATATTACAGACAAGCAAGTGAGGAAATTACTCTTTTAACATATATTATTAAAATAAAACTTAAATGTCAAGTGTTTATTTGCATGTTAATTGGAGTAGAAAAGGACATAAAAAGTATTCAGTTCTCTTTTTTTTTTATTATTATGTTAGCACATTTAAGGAAAGAAACTATACTTTTTTTGAACTGCTATTGAAAACATTAATAATTAATATGAAATACTAGAGAATGGCTTAGTTAATTTTAATTGAGGGCTTAAAATATTATTCAACATGTAGTTTTTTAAAAAAATTGAAAAGCAGTTTAAAAAAAAAAACTTATTTTAACTCTGTCTTTAGGCTAAACGTTTAAGCCCAATCTAAATTGCATAAAAAAGGGAGATTTATATGGATGAATAAGAAAAAGAAAAAATATATATATAACCAGTACTGTGATCCAACTGACTTAACTCAATGTTGAAATAAGAGCAAAACATTCAAATTTGTTTAATAACAGAAAAGGCATTTTTTTCACCACATTTTGCACACGGGGAAAAGCTTGAAAGGTAAAAAGAAAAATTTTATTCGCTCAAATCCCTCTAAAAAGGCTTTCACACATTCACTTCATTGCAAATTATACTAGAATGAATAAATACTTTTATTACAAAACTGAGTTTTATTTCATTAAGTTTTTAATTGGGTACAAATCACTTGAATATGATGCTAAATTTCTTTTAGATGTTTTGAATTAAAATGCAGCATCTGTTCGAAACTATTCATATACTAATTGTTGTATTCGTTACTAAACATTTTGCCTGTAGAGTTCTTTGATCAAAATGACGTGCCAGCAGTTTTCAGCTAAATTCGTTGAAATAATTGTAAATATGCAGAAAAAAATATTCCCTTTAGACTTTTTCTATTTCTTTTATTAGAATGGCAATTTATATTTTATTTTGCTACTAATATTGCTGGTGTTTTAAATTTAATTGTGCTTTTAATCCATATTTTAGGGTCTGTTGACCTGGACTTTTCATGACATACACGCCAGAAATATTAGTCATGCTTTCATAAAGATATAATATTCTGAATAATTGTAGATAGCTAATTTTGTTCAACAGTCTTGCTCGCCTGCAAAGTTTACGGGCTGTTGCCATATGACTTTTGTATTTTATGCACTTTATGTTCTTTACTGTTTTTACTTGGCTTCAATAAACATTTACCCGTACGCCCTGAATTGGGACAGGTCAGGGTAAATATTTTCATTCCCTTTAGACTTCTAAGGAAACAATAAATTGGCTTATCAAAAAGATATAATAAAAAAGAAAAAAAAAATCGAAACCATTTGATAACTTTATAATAAATTTCAATATTAGTTTGTCAAAAATTCAACAACTTAAATTTGTGGAGGAATAATATATAATTATATGTTTTGAAGAAAGAAAAAAAAAATAATATTTAAAAATTAAGTGGTGTTAAGAAATAATAAGTCCTGAACAATGATAATTTAAATATTCAGTTCTAAAACCAAAAACTGTCAAATAATTTTTGCATATTGCTTCTTTTTAAAACCTGTAATGAAGTTTTAATTTTAGTAATAAATAATGTGTTTAAGTGTAAGAAGGAAAACAAAATCATGCATAAATAATAAAAATATTTATTGAAGGGAAGGAAGCAAATAATAAAATATTTTGCAGGTGTATACTATAAGCACTACAGCAGCCCCAACTGTTCTAAAGAATAAAAATGGTTAATAAAACAGAAAATACATCCATAATAAAACATTAGTAGGAATGGAAAAGCACTATTTAAACTTATGCTCCAAACAATAAAAATATTACATTTTTCTCTAACATCCCCAAAAGAAAATCTAACAATAATTACTTAACTGGATTGATTAAAGCTATTTTTATGTGACTTTTGAATGAAAAATACAGGTTCAAAATTTTCTATATAATAATATTTATAATATTAACAGAAAAATATGTTTGTATACTTTTATAATCATAACGGGTATTGCAGAAAATTGAATTCTGTTAAGTAACAACAATGTTGCCCAGTCATTTCCCTTTCCTTGTAAAAACACAAATCTTGAGAAATTCTCATTCTTATTATTTTTATTTATTGTTTGATGTACAGTAAAACCTCCGTTAAGCGGACATACTTGGGACCAAAAAAATTGTCCGTTTATGAGAGTTGTCCGTTTACGGTACCCTAATAACGAAGTTTAACACTCTAATTGTTTTTAGAATATTTTCAAAGATATAGAAATAATGAAATAATCCACAATAACTATTTATAAGGATACTTATTTAAGAAAGATAAAATAGATAATTCCAGGTAAACGAATATAATTTTCCTATTAGCATAGATACTCCAAACAGACATATGATGATAGCTTTCACTCGGTTTTAATTATTAGGTTTACTTCCCCTATCATTTGATAAGGACTGTGGCCTTTTGAAAGTGATTCATGCCTACCTGTAAGTCATAAGGACCTATAGAATGGATCAGCTATCAAGTGTCTGAATAAATGTTTCATTTATAGGAACACCTCATGAATATTATACTTCTGTTCTCCCCCCCCCCTTTTTTTTTTTACCCCAGTAGTGTTAAACAGTCTTCAAATTTATCAGAAATTAAAGAAATTTTCAATGGGGGAAAAGCATTGAGAGCATTTAAGATGTCATTTCAAATTGAGGGGTCTCATAACCTCTGTGGTTCAGATGAAAAGATCAAACAATGCCGCTGTCCAAATTATTTCAGGAGAGCAGTATCATTTTCTCGCCTTTCTTTACAAAGATAAGGCAAGGTGACAGGAGAAAGATCGATTCTTCAGTAGTGAAATAGCGTAACAATATTTTTAGTTACAGATAAGGCATTTACATGCTTTTTTCAAATTTAGAAGAAGTAGTTTGAAGAGATAGAAAATAACAATTCTGGGCCAAAATGACAGTCCGGTTACAGGAGTGTCCCCTTTGCAGAGACTGTACTTAATGGTTTATTCATAGAAGATTCCTGGGGAATTAAAAATATGGCCATATTGAGAGGCGTCCGTTTTGCAGGAGTTTCCATAACAGGAGGTTTCACTGTATTTGTTTGTGTACTTAAATGATTTGTCAAGAATTGAGGATGTTGCAGAAAATTGAAATCTGTAAAATAACAATGTTCATTCTCCTTTCCTTGTAAAAATACACAATTTTTGAGAAATTCTCATTATTAGGTGTATATATAATTAAATAATCTAAGAGCAGCTTATAATCTGAAAAGTGACTATTTTATTTAAGTTATCTCATTTCCCCCTTAAATGGTAACACATCAAAATAATAATAGTTTGGTGCTGTTACAAAATAGGAGAAATAAATTGCATAACAAAAGGTTTGTACTCGAAGCTTTTTAGTGCTCATGTGCCCCAGACAAAAATATTGGACGTCTTGAAAACGAATATTCATACATAATTTCCCTCAACATTTCTGTACGAAGCTGGTTTACGAGTAGATATTTTTACTAAATGACCAGAGATTTTTTTAAGTTTAAATAAAAATAAAATCAAGAAAAAAGTGATGTGGTTTATCGCCAATATAAACATCTAGTACAACACTATTTACAAAGGTTATGAGTGCATGTCAGACACAAGGATGCCAGATACACTTTTAAATCCTCAATAATGTGACGCTATTCACCCTCAGGAATTATGCCAAGAATCACCTAGAGTAAGTGGTTCTTTGAATAGTCTCTTCAAGATTTATGGCATCCATTGAAGTATTGTCAATGGAAAAATGTTTTTAAATGAAAAAAAAAATTCATTCACTATATTGGATTGAACAACAACAAACTTCATGTACAGGTTGTTATAAAAGAAGGGTTGTGCTAAGCAGTAATGAAAGCTTATAAAACAATAAGTATTGGGATAAACTCATTTTTAAAAAGGATTATTTGGTACATAGAATGGAGAGTAAAACAAAGAAAACCTTCTACAGTTAGTCCAGCAGTTTAAAATTGTTTCATTTTATTCAAATAAATGTATTAATTCCAATTGACTTAAAAAATCAAACTGAATTACAAAATTAATCACTTTAAACCTATCACACACGGATCAAAAATCAAATTATTGGCTCACATTTTATCATTCATAAATAAGTAAAAAAAAAATTTGTTTTAAAACAGTTTGCAGTTTATTTATTTAGTGTAATTCTAAATTAAGCTGTTATCATTAGAAGCAAACATTCTTGTAACATCGATTATTGCCAAATTTTACACTTCAGTTCGTTTCTTTATAAAATAGACTGAGAAATTAATAAGTAAAAAATAATAAACTTGTTCATTTTATTTAAATTTAAGGTAATATGAGGGGAAATATTGCTAAAAATGTATAGCATAAAAGTTATACAATCTTGTAATGAAAGTAATTAGAAAAGAATCTTAAAAGCCAAAGTCATTGTGAAGTTAAGGCTCATAATACCACCAGAATAATTAATAAACTCACTCTCATGACATGCCCGCTGAGAGAAAGTATAATTATCGTTATTTGATATGGTGATTAAGGTAAATATAATGGTATAGTTAGCCATTTTCAGAAAATTTTGTCTTATGAACGTTTAAAAAGATGCTAAAGGAGACATATCTGGTTCAAATTAAAATAAATTGCTGAAAGAAAGACACGGGAATTCAAATAAATAGAAAATAGTTATCAGTAACTAATTTGAAATATTATCACAAGATTTTCCTGATGGGTGAACAATTCCAAACATTGACTATAGAACAAAAGGGAGAGGGAAAAAAAAACGTGTTTACCTCACTGTTGAGGTAATTAAGGCCAGAGAGTGAAGGGCTGTTTTCCCACTTGCAAGCAATCTGCAGAGTTTCTGCAGTTTTTTGTTGGATACTTTTAGATTCATCCAAAAGTGTGATCTCATAGAACTCCTGGATATCTGTGAATAGAGAATACTTCATACTAAATACATGAATAGAGAATACTTCATACTAAATACATGAATAGAGAATACTTCATACTGTGAATACTTCATACTAAAATAAACATTCAACAACAACAATACTTTAATTCAAACATTTATTTTAACATGGAAGTTTAATCGAACATGTAGAGACAAAACTATAAAAAATTTTAATGGTATAAAAGAATAGATAAAACTTTAACACATTTCTACAATTGAAAAACATTAACTTGAATTTATTTTTAATAAAAATATATATTTCAAGAAGAGACTGGTCATAATTATGATTAAGCTAAAAAGTTTTTTTTCCAAATTATAAAAACACGAAGAAAAATAAAAAATCAACACAAATGAAGTAATATAAATGGACATACAATAATACTCTAAACAAGAACCATCCTCAGTGTAACTAAGGAATACACTGAGGAGGGTTCTAATTTATGCTTTATTCACGTTTTCCAGAAGTGTGCTATGTATAGTAGATATGAACATTAACAAAGTAATTTTTTCTCTTATCTACAAAGATTCTTTACAAAAATTTTAAAAAAGTAGAATATAATATAGATTTTGCTTTTCAAGCTTTTGTAAGGAATAATTTTTTTAAAAAAAGTGAAACATAAAAAAAATTTCATTCAAATCTGAACTATTTCCAAACAAATTTTTCTTTGTTATAACATCAGTGTTGCTAATCATATTACATATATGTACTAGAAAAACTTGAGAAAAACAGCTCACCCTAAAACAAATAGTACTATCATTAATGAAATAGATCTTCTCTGATTTCTGATGATTCTTCATTTCTGATGATTCATTAATGATTCATTTCTGATGAATCATTAATGAATCATCAGAAATGAAATTCCCTGTTTTTTCCAAATTTATAAGGAGAAATTCCCTGCAATTTCCTCGTGATTTTAGATGATTTTTAAACTCTCTGTACTTTCCCTGTGAAGTGGCAACTCTGAACATATTTATTTAATGAATGATATATTCATTTTTAATTTTAGTTAAAAAAAAAAAGTCAGTATCGCAATAACCAAAGTTGTTTCTAGGGGATATTTTGTAAATCTAAGTAGTGACTCATTACAAACTTTTTTTTTATTTCTAAGGAGTATAAAGACTGCTTGCACACAGATTGTATAGTTGACATTTAGCACTTTAAAAATGCATATAAATCTGGCTTTAAAATGGCTATAAATATCTGTATACCAAGAAGCCAGGCTCAAAACAAAAGTGTTACTAAGTTGTTTTGCAGCATTATCAGAGCGTCACTCAAATCGAGAAAAAAATTTCCCTGTACATGTGACATTGTGTCACTTAATCTCAATTTTCTGTTGGGATCGTGACCTAAAAATTAGGCCAAACCCTGACCCCTCTCCTGTGATGCCTCACTGTCTGTCGACCTTCACGCCTGTGACCTTCGGCAGCCTTTGATGTGGGCACATGGAGGATTATCAGTTATAGTCACAGTTTGTGTATAATTGTGATTTGATTTTTGGCAGTTCATCTGTTCACTTCAAGTCCCTTTTCAGCCACGATTTCTGCGGCATTTTAGGTACTTTTACTTCAATCTTCAACCTTTTATATAAATCACGCCCATTTTTTTTGTCATTATCCACCTCCTCGTGCTGTTGCTGCTCAGTTTTGATTATGCAAAACTTATACATACGACTACTAAAGGCAACACAGGAGCAAACAAGACCGTGAACTTAATACAACTCGTGCAATCAGCACTAAAAAGTACAGGGATCTTAATACAGCTTTCCCGGCTTCTCACAGATCAGTGGTATCCATTCATCGAATTCTATATCAGACATAATTCTGGTGGGGGAGTACTGTAGTGTATCTACCACTACGAAAATACAAATCCAATTCACTAGCATATAGAAGACATGTTAACTCAATTCCATGAAGGGGTACCTTTCATAGAAGAAGGTTGACATTGTCGACATTCTCGGTAACTACGCTCCCCACAGCCAGCAATGATATCACAACATAAGAGGTATTTATACATAATACGGCTATGTCATGAACCAATTTGTAATACCTTGGGCATTCTATATCATTAAAATGAAGAAACGGTAACAAGTTTAGTAGCATAAACTATAAATCCTTCTCCTTAATTAACACTTAATGAGTTACACAATAACTATCAAATTGTGTAGTCAAATAAATAAGCACCTTTAAAGTATTTTTTAAGTACTCAAAATATTTTTAAGCACTTACATACATTTCCAAAATGCAAAGTCATTTTCAAAGAGTTAATGTGAGCATGATAAAATAACCAGTTTCTGACAAAGAAACTCTATTCTTCATTATATTTAGCCATCATAAAAAGATCCAGAAATTTTTTGGTTTAATTTCAGAGGCTGGAAAATGAGGTCTAAAATTAAGAATATCTTGCAAAATGCAGCAGACTTGCACATTAGAGTACAAGAATCTCAATGAACACAGCTCAGTAGATGCACATGCAGACTCCCAAGTAGTTAATGAAACATGTAACATGATTGGAACTATCATACGCTACGGACCGATGGTACACCAAAATGGATTGTAGTGGAATGAATTGTGAAAACTACACTTTTGCATAATTCACACCTGAATTGTGAAAACCACGCTTTTGCATAATGCACAGCTGAATTGTGAAAACCAGGCTTTTGCATAATGCACAGCGAAAATCGACATGGTAAAGAAGAAATAAAATTCACTTTCAAAAAGGGAATATTAAGCATTTAATAAAAAAAACACAATGAAAAAAAAAAGGCACCTTCAAGGGCTTTTAAAAAACAAAAATAAGTGCCTTTAAGCACCAGAGTTGGCAAGGTTTCTGACACATGGATTAATACACAGTTTAAACCAGGGTTAAAATCGGCCTGTCCAAATCCTATTTATTCAAGTTATGTCACAATTTTAAAAAAAATATTTTGAAAAATAAAATGAAGACAAGTTTTAGTTTTATTAAAAAATTATACAATCTTTTTTCATACTGCATTATTTCTCCTTATGAAAAACATAATTTATCAATATTAAAAGCATTGCTTTAATAAGTGAAAGTAAATTGCATAAAAAGCATAAAATATTTATAAATATATGTAATTATTATGTGTACAATGGTTACACATATAGAATTTTTACCTTTTACCAATGTTCAAGGTTTTTGACAATTTAAGACAGCTTTAGTCAGTTTAGGACAGTAAAACCCATGTGCCCTGTCCAAAACCAGTTTTGGGCAACCAACCCTGTTAAGCACTTTTAAAAAAGCTAATGTAGTAGAATTGTTGTTCTTACCTTTAAAGAAGCAAAAATTATTTTTCAAATTTTTTTTTTATTTCAAAAAAATCAGTAGTTTAAGAAAATATTAAAAACTGTCATTTACAATCGGACCATTTGAGCCGGCAAAATCCCTTCCTTACGTATTCATTGTAATTTTTTAACTATGCAAACTAAACATGTTTCATTTAGTTAAAACTTTAAGGAAATAATGTTAAACAATGACAGTTTTTAAACGTTCATTTGAGTTTCGAAGTAGAATCGATCTAAATTCATCGTGTTCGCAATGCGGTAAATAATAATTCAGTTTCTTTTTTTTACAGAGAGAAATTGTTTACCGAGCAACGCTTGAAACAATCTGCACTTGAATATCCTAATAACTCTTTCAATTGCATTTCTTAATTGTTTATCTTGAGGTCGAATAAGTTTGCTGTGATAATCTTCCAGAAGTTCTAGAGCTCTGTGTGCCTCTGAAATGAAAAATTGAAATGATTATTTAGGCAAATAAAATAGACTTTCAGAACAAATGATACTTCGAGCAAAATAAATCATTCACAAAACATTTTGATTAAATGCCTTTTCACAGGGGATTAGAGTTATATTAGTTACAAAGTTCAGGATGCGTAGCCAAATCTTTGAACAAAAATAAGCACCTTTTAAGTACTTTTTAAGCACTCAAAAAATATTTCTATGCACTATATACATTAACAAAGCACTTTTTAATAACACCCAATAAAAAAAGCACTTTTAAGGAATTTTAAAAAAATGAAAATATGCACTTTTAAGCACTTTTTAAAAACGCTATGCACCATGAGTAGAGAATGGTGAGAATCGTAGAACAAGTTAGCAAATTTAGGAAAAAACAAAAGTCATAGTGATATTTGGTGATAAATGTAGCTGATTGTAATTGAAAAACATCAACATTTTATGGAGAATTTTCAAAACTACGTTTCTGAATGAATAAAAACATCAAGATGCTATTTGCAAATCATCTTTATCCAAAGAAAACCAGAAACTAAAATATTTGGCAGAATAAAGTAATATTTTAAATTATTATTAATAATTTTATGGAAAGACTAATATTAATAGTTTTATATAGAACTACATTCATATAAAGTAATTACTATATTAATAATTAATTAGTAATTACTATATTAATTCTATTAATAATTTTGCTCCAAACATCGTTAGTTACATTCAAATATTTCCTACTGTCATCTATTTTCGCTTTAAAGCGATATTCGGGTCGAATTGAGCAGTAAAAAACTAGCTGATTGTAGGCTTGACTGTAACAATGATATTGCTCATCTTTGGACTAAAGTGGCAGTTAAATGTTTTCTCTTTGGGAGAAGAATACATGCAACTAAACACAAACTTTCTTCTCCGCATAAATCGCGATTATGGTGTCTGCTTCATATTTTTTTCTCCCATCGCAAACTTTTTTGACGCACATGTGGATTCTCTTTTTTAATATAATAATTAATATTAAAAATGTACCTGCAAAATAGTAAAATCACCAACAATGCATCTGTTCATAGCGTGCATCTATATTATCTACCTATGGTTTTCCCTATTTACACATTCAAGTTAGTCATATGATAACAAATAGGCACTTTTAGTCCTATGTCACTTCCTCGGACGGTTCGATAATTAGGTTTACACACTCCCATCACCTTATATTTTACTTTATAATCGTCCTCGAACAGCCGACCCAAATTTTGGGTCTATGACTACTAATGTTCAACTCCGTCGCCTTGTCATTTTGAACCCAATCCAGAAAACAAGGGAACTCCTAGATCAAGTGTTGGGATAAATTTGCCTTCATTGGGGACATTTTGATGATGCTAACCACTAAAATCTTTCACGGTTAACCTGAGGACAAGGAGACACTAACCCATGATCCATATACCATTGAAGAGGTTATTTTACGTCAGCACTGTGGTTCGGTAAGAATCGGGTGCGGAATTCGCATCCGCCGCCGGGACTCGAAACCGGTTCACCTCATCGGAAGGTGAAGGCTCTAACCCCTTCACTTTATAGCAGGGGTTTCCAACTGGCGGCCCGGGGACCGCATCCGGCCTGAGAAATCTTTTTTGTGGCCCGCGAACTAAAATATATTAGTTGTTTTTTGCGGACAATTTTCGTAAAAAATATACATGGGTTTAAAATACTTTTCTTGTTAATAAAAACCTAATTTATTCGTTTCTGTGAAATTTAACATACCAACGGTGCAAAAAAATTTATTTCTCAGGTTTTGCATCCAAGAAAATATTTATTCAAATACAAAAATAATCGCGTATGTTGCTCTTTTTTATTTCATTTTTTAATATTTTGTGAGTATAATTTAGCATGTGAGTATCACAAATTTTCTTGAAGAAATTCTCCGATTCAACTTTTTGAAACTACTCATTTTAGACGAAAATATTTACACACACATTTTTAAATGTAAATATCTATTCTCTGGTGGTTGCAGCAGACAAACCTCAATTTTTTCATTGAATATTTTGAGTGCTACTATGTAAGTTTTAATACCAACCTCTTTAAAGTTTTATATCTGAACAATTTGATATGTGTTGCATATTAATTGCTTAATACATAGGTGCGCATTAAAGTTAATTTTTATTATTTATTTAATATTTTTAGAAATATTATTAATAACAATTAAGTATTTTTTTAAAATCTACTTCTTATTTTAATTTGTAATTCAATACTTTTGTTTTGTACAACTTGGTAAAAATCTGACAGTAATATTTAATGTTCCTTCAAACATAAAAGAGTCTTACATAAAATTTTGATAAAGTTGCGGCCCGCCATTTGATTTGTGTTGTTAATTGTGGCCCCCGGCCTCATGTAAGTTGGAAACCCCTGCTTTATAGGAAACATGATTATCACTCCTTGAAAGTAAACCTCCGCACAGAAAGCAATGCATACCTGTATGGAGTAATCATATTCCTAATTGATCATCTGTCTAAATAAAGTCATTTATATGAACACCTCAATGACTAGATTTCACAGCTGTGTTAAATAAAGTTCTCCAGATTGATAATAAGTAGAGAGGAATTTTTATAGTGGGGGCATTTAAAGGCAGTCTCATAACCAGTGATCAAAAGATGCCTGAAACATGATCATTTTCTCTTCCTTCTTTGCAAAGGTGAAAGGAGAATGATTGATTTTTTAGCAACAAAATATTTTGATTGTGGATAAGGTGAAAAAAATTACATGCTTTAAAAATTGGAAAGTTGCATATTTTCCCTTGGTAATTTAGCAGAGCTGCCAGCTAAGAACAGTAAGACAAAAAAAAAATAATAATAAATAAAAATATGTCCAATCAATATAAAGTTCAGAAAAAAAGGAAAGATCATCGAAACCAGCTTATTTGTGTTGTAAGCATAAATGTTTTGTTACGAGCCATCTTCAGAAAAAGGATGGTTGCTCACAAGAGCTTCTTCGGATATAACTTCTTAAAAATGATTTTAATCACTCCTTTTTCTATTATTGCAGCGTACTATGGCAAAGTGGATAGAGCACTCTCCTCCCAAGGTTGTGACCCAGATTCGAATCCCAGCAAAGTCTGGTGCTGGTACCGACCCGTTCTGAAGTAAAATATCTTCAGTCGATCATGGGTTATAGTGTAGAAAATAGGGTACCGTTCGCTCAGGCATTAGGCAGAAGAGCAGTCTCTTTGAAATTTGGGCCCTTTAAAGTTAAATCACTTTCTACGCAGTTAGCCTATGTTCAGGAACTAATTAAGTGAATAAAATAAAGTTGCACGCAAAACTTGTTTATTCAAAGATAAAAAAAAATTTCATAATTATTTTTATTATTTAATTTACAAATGATTTAAAAAAAAAAAAACAAGTGTATTTCAGATTTACTTTTAATCAATAAATCCTTGAACTGTACCGTATACTTATTGTTAATAGAGATTTATTTAGAGACATTTTTATTCAATCTTTCAGAATTAGAAATTCAATGTTTTTAATCAGAGAATTTTAATGATAAATTTAATGTTTTTAAAAATAATCTTTTAAATAACTGAAATGAAAATGAACAAATTACGAAGAATTTTTTTGTACATGTACTCCATAATTTTCAATTCTTATGGTTAAAAGGCAAAATCTCAAAAGGTTGCAAGAGTCTTATTTAAATTAAAAACAAGTAGAACAGTGTAATAAGATGACCGAAAGAAGGTTACCTTGATCGTTGAGTCGGGGAATCGATCGAGCATCCATGATTGTATATTAAATGCATCACCACTAAGCAGCATATATTAAATCTTCAACAGTTTCATTTAAAATGACTAAAAGAAAATTATAATTTTATTAACAATCAAAAGTACTTTTGATTAGTAAAATGTTTTTCACTTTAAACAACTATTCTTAGTCTAGTGCATTGAGAGACATTAAATTAACATGTTAGCTTATTCCAGCATGTGATAGCCCCTAAAGTAGTAAACATATAAATCAAAAATAATAATCAATAAAATCAACACACAACTCTCATCAAATTTAATATCTTTTCAAATGATCATAAAAAATTTGCATATTCATTAAGATTTAAGATTTTTTCCCACTCCATTGCAGTTTTTAATAATATTTCTCAATGTCAATTGTAGTGTGCTCACCACTACAAAAATACAATTACAATTCACTACTACATGAGACAAATTAACTCGATTCTATTTTGGGGTACCTTTTCATAGATGAAGGGTTGACATTGTCAACAACCACAATCCCCACATTAGTGACCCGGACGATGGCAGAAACTCCCACTTTGATGGATGGTCCCCATTAAACAGCTGACTTGCTACTCGTGACATCATACACCTTCTCCTGCTGTTTCTACTCAGTCTCGATCACACATGACGTCCGATTGCATGCACTCAACTGCTAGGGCGACCACAATCATCGACATAATACAGCTCTCGTGATCAGCATTTAAAAGTATGGTGATCCTAATACAGCTAACACTCGTTAATGAATCAACTAATAGTATCTGTTCATCGAATTCTATCACGGATATAATTCTGGAGGGGGAGTGCTGCAGTGCTTCTACCACTACAAAAACACAATTTGAACTAACTAGTATAGCAGATATATTAACTTCGTTCTATTTTGGGGTATCTTTTTGTAGATAAAGGCTGACATTGTTGGCAAATACTATCCCCACATCAATAATAGCAATTTCAAAAATCCAACAGATGGTAATGTAAAAGGATTCAGTTCCGTCTAAGAACACCATTCCTTGTTTTTGTTAAACAGTGGATTTCTCTTATGTCCTTTAAATCATCAAATGAATGAATTATTCAAATCAGATGCATTTATTAATTTCTCAGTCTCAGGTTGTTTAAGTACAATGATTTTGGGGTTTTAAAGCATTACAAATGTCTTTAACAAAGTACATTTAGTAACAAAGAAAAGGAATAATGTTCATGGTACAGTGCCATAGAGGAAATACATTACTGCGCACCATCTGTTGGATTTTAGAAATTATAATAATTAACAGGGCTGTAACTATGCTGGTCCACTGCGGTTCGGCAATTGTAAGAGTTTTTTCTTTCAAGAATCTAATTCAACAAGGAAAAATACAAAATTTGAGAGAAATTGGTTATAAAGTTACTGGGAAATCAAGTTTTTTTAATTTATTTTTTCAGGATAAACCGATTTCGCTCAAATCTTGTATTTTCACAAGTTTATAATACACAATATTTTCCAATTTATATGAGAATCCAATAATCCTATTTATATGTGAACAAGTAACTTGTTTTAATAAATACATTCACTAACATCATACATAAATAGCTAATATGACAGTTAAAAATAGAGTACAGAAAGTTTTTTAAAGGGACCCGGGGCTAAAGTTACGGCACTGATTATTAACAAGGAGAAATATCATTGACAGCGGGGTTGGTATTGTGTTCGAAAGAAACCTGTTTTATCCAAGACACAGGAAAGAACTAAAAATTACTCATACAGTTTATAATAAGAGTACCTTAATTTTAAACAAATTAAATTTAATATGCCAAAAAGTTAGATTTTTTACAAATACCCCTTTTTTTTATTAAAAAAAAAGAAAAACTATTTTTGCAGATTTTTTATATTGCAATATATACATAAGTTTTAAAATCAATAGATCATATTACTTAAGAGTCAGTATAAGTATTAAAAATTAGCAACTACAATATTTATAATTGCGTATTACTAAGTGATTTGTAGTAGTGAGTGATTTGTTTAGTAGCATTCATAAAATATGATTGTGAAATTTTAACAATTCTGTATATAATAATAAAATTTTTACTATATTCATTTATGTAAAATATTTTAGTTAATATAAAAAGTAATATATAAGTATACATAAGTAAAACAAATATAATAAGAAATACGATTCACAACAAAATGAAGAAAATTCTGATCGCCGCAGGGCGATCACAGGTTACCCATTGGCAAAATAATTTTTATCTAATTTGTTTTGGAAAGGAAATTTATTGTGTTTTTATCTTGGACATCGTTAACTGTTAATCCTGAACTGCTTGGTAATAAATCTTGTTATTAGGAAAGAAAACAGGTGAAATGATTTAATAGGGAATGGTCCGATATAATGACCAATGTCATTTTTAATATCCTGTTTAATAATAAGAAAATAAATTTGTGGAAAACCCCTTACCATTCAAACTATACTTATAAAATTGGTTAACACTAGCAATGAAAATTTAGTGGTCCAAAAAAGCCCCTTAATATGGTAGACAAACATTAAAAAAAAAATTCAACTTTACAATTACATAATTCATGTTGTAGAATGCATCAAAAATTGCCATCTATAACACCCTAAAAATAATTAGGTTCGATGCACGATAATAATTGAAGAATGGGTATATTAGTTTCAACACTGAGATTAAAATGCCAAATAAATGAATGAGGAAATTAGAGAACACAAAAACTAAAAAAATAATATATGAAATTTTAAATAAATTCAATTCTAAAGGAATAAAAAATATTATTTAACGGATAAGCATCTACATTGTCAGCACAGGAATGCTGCTACGAATTTCTGCCTGACCGAAAGAGGGCGTTGTAATCACTCACAATAATACTGTAATTACTTTAGTGGGAGGCAATGGATTGAACTGGATGGTTTATTGAAAAGCCCCATTTCGTATCATATTTTTTTATTGTTAATTAAATTTGCTTGTTATTAACACTAAACATACCATTTCGGTCAAATGACCAGAACTTTTGCATCGAAAATGCACACATCATCTTATCGCGTTTCCTATTTGACTTCATGACTTTTTCTAACAATTATATACAGTTAATATTCTAGTATTATTCTTTTTTAGATTTTGTTTGTTTTGAATAATACTTCTCGTATATCTATTTCTACCACAACCGGTCATTTAAACAGGAAAACAATGTATTGCATTATAAGGTTATCGGATCAGAAATTACGATGCGTGTTCAACGTATTGCATTCGATGAGTAGCACATTTCTGCAAAAATTATTGCGTAATTAGTTCAATCACAATAACTGAATTCAAATTTTAAGCAAGTATCTAAAATTTTAGATTGGCATTTTTGTGTTAGAAAAAGTGAAAAAAACTAAATGTTTTGGTAAGTAGCTTATATTTTATTTTGATAGCTTTACTTCATTTCTAACAACCTTGGTTAGTTTTTAAGCAGAAAAATGTCGAAACAATCAAGACAGCACAAGTTCTTAGAAGAATTAAATAATATAGGCAAAGAGTTTTCGGAAATTGATGAAGATGAATTTTCTAAAAAACATAATCTTTTCAAAGTAAGACATGCCAAATAGGATATTGTAATCAAGGGCGGCGCCAGTAGGGGGTCAGGGGGGCTATTGCCCCCTGTCGGACATCGTCTGCTCCCCTATCCGGACGAACTTAAATGTCGTAAGGAAAACACTACCGTCTTGAAAAGAAATATAATAACATTCTTAAAAAAATCTAGCTTTTAATTTTATTATTTTTTTTTTTGTTAATGAGAATAAATTAAAAACGAAAATGTATTCTTCTTACTTGCACTTTACCACCAACTTCCTGTTCACTTTCCTCAGAAAAAATTATGATTAACAAAATGGATATACAAATTACAATTGTAATCTCTGCTCTGGTCGGAAAAGTTCCTGTCGAGAAAAGATTTTTTAAAAAAAGTGATAAAAATAAGAATTTTGCAATGTATATCAAAACTAATTTAGTATAATTTTAACACACTTTCCATAGGTGCAAATATTTATTCTATAAACCAAAATTTCTTTCCGCATTTTTGCAAGCTAAAATACAGTCAAAGCTTGATATATCGAGATGTCCGATATTACGATACCTACAAAACATTAATATTTAAGATACAAAAATTCTTTGTTTATAATGAGTTAAAATATATATATATACATTAGCTTTCCGCAATAGCTGCAAAAATTCGTTAGAGGAAAATGCATTTTTCTGTAATTAAAATTAACGAAAAAGGACAAAACAGAAGACGTTTTTATTTATTTATAACTGATATTAATATGAAAAGTGAACATCATTTCACCTTATTTTTCTCTTCCAATCATAATCCTTTAAGTCAGGGGTGTCAAACTCGCGGCCCAGGCAATATATCCGTTGCAAAGTAAAAATAAAATCGAAATGTTAATTAGAAAGGAAACTAGCATGTAAAATTATAATACACTTTATTTATAACTATACGACATTTTAATTGTACGCGCGAAAAAGTAAAATTCTAACTGGCTTGCGGCACTCGCCATTCCAGGGAAACTGCATCGTATCAAAAATAAGCTGAAAAAATTTCTAATCTGAGAACAGAATTTGAAACAAGGTTTAAAGATTTTAATTCCTTGGAAGACAAATTTTGCTTGTTTTCTTCGCTTTTCTCAATAAATATAGACTCAGTACCCAGTAATATGCAAATGGAAGTGATTGAGATTCAGTGCGACTCAAATTTGACAAAATTTCTCCCGAAATAGGAAAAATAGTAGCAGTGAAGAGATGTCAAATATCAAACAATAATTTTACTTTATATATGTTTATTACAATATACTATTCAAAATAAAAATATTTGTTTCTATGAACACTGATTTTTTTTATTGCGGCCGACCTAAAGTTAAGCATTGTTTATTTGGCTCAAGTTAGCTTTTGAGTTTTACACCCCTGCTTTAAGTCATCAAAGCATATATATGTGGATAACCACCAGTTAAATTACCTTTCTATATAAAAATGAAAAAATATTTTGCTATTATCAGTAATATTAACATATACTTCAAATGAATGTACATTGCTAAAAAAAATAAATAATAAATGGACCCACCAGAATAACTTTTCACCTAAAGTTCGGATGTTCTTGCTCTATTACTCATTCCTAATGGTTCTAAAATCATATACTAATTAATTAGTGGTAACGATATTTCAAGATATAAAATTAGACAAAAAACGTACTTTCTCTGATTAGACATAGCTTTTTTCGACTGATACGGATTTCTGACCCCCAAAATATAGTAGCTTCAATCTGGAAATATTGTTTTAGCAGTTTTTCAGGAGCATGTTTGAAAGTTTGGACCCTTTAATGTAAACTTTAGTTTTTGGCGTATTTCACTATGTCCCATTTTTTTTTCTTAAGCGGATTGAAAAAGTTTTGCATACAATTCCAATCATATAAATTAATCCAATCAATTCCAATTCTAAAGATAATTTCATGCATAATATAATTTTTAGTAAACATTTATTATTACTTTATTTAATGAAAGTCGAAAAACTTAAGATATGTAAGGTGTACAATTTTTTCATCATTTGAAAGAATGCAATTTTAAATGTCTAAATACAAAATTTAAGCAAAATCGGTTAAATAAATCCTGAGAAATTAAAAAAAAACTCTTATTTTTTGAAATTTGGTCTCCTAACCCTTTAATTTTTTGAGAATTAAAATTCGCAACTATAAAAGCAAGAGCAAATTTAAATTGCAGAGGGAAGAATGTTTTGCGTTAATATGTGGTGAACAATAATTAATTGCGTGAAAGGTTATTCGTTGCAGGCGTATGCCAATATATAAAAAACTTTTGCAGAGCAGCATAAATCTTGATGGAAAGTCTGTTTTCAGCTCTGCAGAGAAACGAAAACATAGGCAGACAAACAGTAGCCATATGTGGCAATTTTTTTTCTAAAATGTAAGTTAGTAAATATTCGTTTCTCGGACGCAAGTTTAAAATTTGTAAATTTAAAAATCATTACAAATTTTAGCTATATTGTTTAAATTTTACAGTTTAAGTCGATGGACTCACTCTTTTCTCAAATGGAGAAATTAGCATTTTGCCGAACATAGATGTTCACTTTAAAAGCATCTTTGAAAAGAAAAGGGAATCATAAAAAGAAATTTTAAAAGTCTCTTTGTATTTATTTATAATTAAAATTATATATACATATTAATTAACATCAAGTCCCGTGACTAAAATAGCCTTTTTTTTGCCAGTAAAATTATGCTATGTAACAATTAAAAAAAGTGAATTTTATAATTTAATAGGCATAACTGTTTCGAAGTTCATTCAAAAGGGGACATGATATTTTAGATAGAATACGTGGATGCAAAAAATGTACTTATAACTTTATTTGCAAAACATTTAAATGATTCAAAAACCAATCGATACATATAAAAAATAACATTTTCTTGTTATGTTAAATTTGCATGAAATTTCAAATTCTTATTATCGAATAATTTTTGCGTTATGAGAGTAAGAAGCATAGAAATTTTTTGACAGCTACAACTACTTTTCTTTATTATAGAAAGAATTTTTTAACTTACAATGTGTCATAAATTGCACCATACAGTACAAAATACATCGATAACAGAAAGAAAAAAAAGTTTTATTTAAATTTACATTAAAATGAATCTGCACATTATGGTATCAATATTAGTGATTTTAGATTCGTAGAAACACACTTGAAAAAAATGAATTGAGAAAAAAATTTGCAGTATTAAATTCGTTTTAATTTAAATATTTTGAATTAATTTGTTTGAGCCCCCCCCCCCCCCCCNGAATTTGTTTGACCCCCCCCCGTCGGGGGAGACTTGACCCCTTGTCGGGCAAAGTCTGGTGCCATCCTTGATTGTAATGACAATAAAACCATCAAAATTTGTTCTAAATGTGAGAAATGTTTGTGGAAAATGTACAATAGCAACACTCTGTATATATAAAAAATGCGTTAAGCAAGGAATTCAAAATTCTTATTCATTGTATTTGCAATACATAAAAATTGGCCATATACAATTTTGTTTAATGATAATAGAATTTGTTTATTTCCTTCCTAAAATCCGTATTTCATACATGCATTCATACATGCTTGTATAACATTTGGCTACAATTGTCGCCATACTGGCATGAAACCTAATTATCATAAAAGTAAATCTTGTTTACAAGGTTGGGATTTTGGACAGGACACACGGGGTTTTACTATCTTTTACTGACTAAAGCTGTCTTAAATTGTCCAAAACCTTGAATATTGGTAAAAAGTAAAAATTTTATATGTGTAACTATTATACACATAATAATTACATATATAAATAAATATTTGATACTTTTTTATACAATTTACTTATTAAAGGAAAATAATACAGTAGGAAAAGATAAATAATTTTCAAAGCTGCACAGTTCATTGAATAACAAAAGTAATACCTTATCCTTTAAATGTACTTTTAATACTGATAAATTACTATTTTACTTGTTATTGTCATAAATTTGCAAAAGATTATTTTAAAATAAAAAAATATATACATGCCAATCAAACGTTTGAATAATTAATTAACTTTTAATTGGCAAATTTTATTGGTCAATTCTCTAGGCAATACTAGTTAGATTTAACAACATTTGTATGAAAATGATTATGAAGGATTTTTGGAAAGATTACTTCTCAACCGCAGAATAAAGATAATTTAAGATATTAAATGAAGAAGTATTGCTAAGAAGTAATTTGTAAGAGATAGTACTATGTTGAGAGTATATTAAATCATAAAAAAGGAAAAGAATTAGTACAAACACTACAGTCAGGAAAGCACCTATTTTTGAAAAAGTCTACCAAACATTTGAAGATGTTGAATATTGTTTTGAAGATCAATTTAAATTTTTCAGAAAACTTATTTCTGGTTAACATGATATTCTTTGCTTTCATTCACAAATAAATTTTACTATGACTTTTGTTAAGCATTATGCAATTGGTTCTTACAGGGCCGGATTTAAGCTTGGTGGGGCCCTAAGCTACTGAAAATGATGGGGCCCTTACAAGTTCAATTCCATTTCTATACACCTAAAGTAAACTGCAACTATTTTTTATTGTTGAGTATTAACATTATGTTATTAAAAATTTGATAATATTACTTTATTGTTAAATATATTAATTGTGATGAGACTATTATGTAGAACCTTTCTTTTATTGCACATATTTTTTGAAGGAGGGTAAAAGTTACAAAAGCAACACATTTTAAGCACAGAGTAAAAATTGAGCGTGCTGGGCCACTATATATTTAACAGAGTTTTCTTTTATTCATTTTGAATTGTCATTATTTATGTAAATTTTTGGCTTATGTTTTTAACGATTTATTAAAGGGTCTATTAAATATCAGAGAGAATAAATGTCATTCGGGTTTAAAGTATCAGCTCTGCTCTTGATGGTGTATAGTGGCTAGGATGTGAAAGAGCAACTGTCCCGGGCATCCAGCCAAAACGAGCATTCAACATATCAATGGAACACACTAAAGCTTTATATCAATTAGCAATTAGTTTTAGATAATTACAATTGTAGAATAATTATCTTATTATAGAATGAAATGTTTTAAAGACAAATATCTGTTAATGTTTAACATTTATTCAACGAAAAAACAGAACCAATATTGAAATCTAACGAATTTATTATTTTTAATTACTGATAAAGTTTGTGTCAGAAAAAAAAATTAAAGCCTTATAGATTTCAGAATTTTAGAAACACCTTCTAGTTATACTATTCAATCACATAATTTTCATGTCTTTCATCCCGGTCTCATTAGTGATTCAGCATATTTCGATATAATTTTTGTTTCATTCTTACTTAATATTAATGTGTTTGCGACAGTTAATTTGTATACCTCTTTTACTACATTTTCGAGGAGTTTAAAAATATAATATTGAGGATTTTAACTGAAATGAAGTTTGCTTTTTTTGTATGCCTCTTCTATTACGTCATCATCACACCCACAAGCAACTGTATACTCTAAATAATGCTATATAGAATGAGATAGCAAAACAAACGTGTGTAGTTATTTAAATTCTTATTCAAAAGTATTAGTTCATTTTTTTTAACTGACAATTTCTGTCCTTTTTTAGATATTTTAAAGTGCTATTTAAAACTGCTGCATATCACATGAAAGCATTAAATATATCATTTGTACAATTTTAAAGTAAAATAAAAGGGAATTCTGATCCTTAGAAACAGATATTAAATAGTCTGATGATCGAATGATGGGGCAAAAAAAAAAACTTTTCTACCTTTTAAACTAAAAAATTGTTCAGTTATAAATAATTTATTAATACTCAAATTGCTTGAAAGATGATATGCTCCCTACTAATGACAACGAAGTTTTTTGTTTTATTCAGTCATTTATTTTTATTTATTATGACCGACAATGTAAAAAAGCAAAAAAAATGCATTTTGGGCTTCTGAGGGCCCCAGCTCCGAATAAAACTTTTAAAAAAGAGGAGGGAAAGTAGGATCTGGGGGCCCTTGTCATCTCGGGGCCACAAGCTACAGCTCATTTAGCTTATACGTAAATCCGGCCTTGGGTTCTTAGCTTATTTTGACAAATGTAGATTTTTTATTTTTCATGTTTTACCCGTTGTTATTCTTTTAACCCTATTTACTCGCTAGAAATATGTCGCCAACTTTGTCTCTTATTTTAACGAAGAATGTCTATAATAATAAAGAGGCCTTCTTATTTTTCAAATTTGAACAAGAGGGTAATGGGTTTATACTTGAAAACAAAATTGCAATTTTGTTAACTATTTTAACCCTTTGCTTACGGCTGGTACAACATGTGGATAACATGTGATGGAACAACATGGTACACCGTAAGCAAAGGGTAAAATAGATATTTTTGTATATCTGCTAATAAATTAACATCAATATTAAAATATTTAATTAATTTTAATATTACTTGTTAATTTTATTTATTAATTAAGTAACATTAATATATTTAATCATGAGTGCCACTCTAAAAAAATTTCAAGGCTGAACTTATTTTTTGACCAATAAACACGACCTAACATTGTGTACCAGAATTTTCAAAAGTTTAGGTATAGCTCACTCACTCCTAAATATACCTTTCCATAATCATGCCACAAATATTTAATCAGTGACTTTTTTTCTTCTTCATTTTGTTAATTAATTTTTTCACAATTCTTTTCACTTTTGTTAATTTTTTTTAAAAATAATTTTAACTTCGGTCATCATTTAAAAATGATAGGAGAAAATGAAAACAGATTTTGGTACAACAATAGCACAAATTTTGTTTAAGCAGGCAGGAGCTGAAGTTCAATCACATTCATTCATTAGCATCATTACTAGATCACTTAGCAATAATTATGAAAAATAACAATGTTTTCATTAGAATGTAATATTTGTTTAAAATTTACTAGAAAAATAAATAGAAAATGTTTGTAACATTCTTAAGGTAAAAATACATTTAAAGTATAAATGGAAAGTAGGTATTAATTGATGAAATTTAGTCTCATGATTTTTTCTCAAGACTGATTCAGGGTATCTGCTACATTTCAGATTTTCTTATTCATGACTAATTCCAAAAATTTTTCATCACTTAACGAATTTACTATTTTCTCCGACAAAAACACAACAATTAATTTAAAATAAAGCATTATAATAACATTAATTGAAATAATAGGTATAACCTAAACTGTTATACTCTGCATCTTCATATTTATAGATTTTAAATTTAAAAAACAGAGTAAAAGAAGAGTTAAAGCAATAAAATAGCTGAAAAAAATACATAAGCAAATAATTTTTTTTCTTCTTTTTTTCAGCAGAATTATATTCTAAAGATACTTTTCTTGTTCTTTGGAAAGAAAAGAAATACTCCAGATTTTTCTGTTCTCATTTCGGAATTAAAAAAATTTGCCAATGATTGGCTTCCTTCAGCTAGAATTATAAATTTATGAAATAAAAAACAAAAATTCTGATATCACAGAAGTTTAAAAGATAATTCACTCTAGAAATGTTTTTTCCTTCAATTTTTGAAAGAACACCATGATTTTCAAAGAACAAGATAAAAACATTTTATATTTTAATAAAACATGACTGTGAGAGGGAATTTTGTTACCAATTCAGATATTCAGAACACCATGAAATTTGGGGGTGGGGGTCAATTCCATTTTAAAAATTAGAGTTTTCAACGACCTAAATCCATGACTTCCTGACAAATTTTGTTCAATACCGAAATTCATGACTTTCCAGGTGCACAGATACCCTGCTGATTTACGTCCCAGGGACAGCACCCATGTGTAATATTGTTAACTTTTGGTTTAGTTTTCCTTCAAAATGATTTGTAAAAAGCACAACAAAAATCCTTCAAATCTGAGAGTCACCCATTTGAACACTAAAAAACATTGATATTTTCAGTGATTTGATTATTTGCCTTTAATTTGTTCACATCAATTGAGTAATATTATATCCAATTGAAGTAAGTTATATTGAAAATCAGCCCTGTATACATATACTTTACTAGTACTTTCAAAATTTATGACATAGCAGGCATAAAACCTTAACTTATGACACAAATTATTTAACAACTGAGAAACATTTTTAAACAAAGTTATTCAAAATAACTTTTATTTAAAATCTGACACGGAAATAATATTTGAAATACATTCAAATAAGCTCTATGAGAACATGCATTAAACTCTTAAAATATATAAATAAAAACAAAGATTTTAAAAAAAACACACACAAGATATCAGTATAATTTTTCCATAATGAATGAATGGAATTACAAAGAGCGCTATAATTAAAATAATTAATAAAACATACTTTTAATGAACACCGAAAATTTACGTTTGCACATTTATTACTTAAATAGGGTAAAACTCACCAATTTTATAAATGGAATTTACCCACTGCTATAGCTAGAATTATATTACAATAATTTAAAGTATTTAATTTCACTCATTATTTGTGTTCTTAGGCTTAAGGAGAATTTTAATCAAATTAGGATAAAATTACAGAATTAGGGAGTTATACTTCTACAATTAAATATAATAATAAATAACAATAAAAACAAAATTTTTAAGTTTAGTAACCGTATTATGAATCTCATATTCATAGTAATTTTCAATCATAACACCAAAACAATGTTTTATTTAAACACGATACGCAAGATAATAGAAGAAAATAAAGATTTATCCCAGAAGTTGCGGATAAACACAGCATCCCAAACATCGAACTAGAGGGATCATCAAAATAAGGAACCGGAAGTGGTATTCCAAAGTGTCTTCAAGAGAATGATGTAGGAGAGATACACTAAACTTTTTCAATTGTTGACATCTCATCATTTGAAAATCGCAAGAAATAAGCTACATTTATGAACGAAAATCCGTTTCGAGATTTAGTTTGAGTACTTTACTTTTCCACAAAACATGAAAACTATTCACAGAAGGCGACAAGACTTTCAAAAAGAATGTTTCACTGCTAAAGGTCATTCTCACTGAAAGGAAATCATACATTTCCGATGGCATCAGAGAAAAATAAGATACACGAGTTTTTCGCGAGACAATATTTTCCGCTAATCAGAGAAGCTCTACACATCACACCCCATAACTCCCAATAATATGAACCTATAAATTTCAATCTTGGCCGGAAATTAGAGTTTAATATAACAAACAATTTTACCAAACGAATCTTTTATAAACCAGTTATTGGTCCCACAATGACCCAAAATATGTTTTGTTGACTAACCGGGAGAAGGAGTTTTAAGCTAAATAATCGTGCGGCCTGCATGTGAAGCGTGGCTAAGTTGGTAGCACTTTGGGCAACTTAGATTTGTTGTCCCGGAGACCCTGGTTCGAAACCCTGCAAGGGTCGACATTCATTTTTTTTTTATTTATTTTATATTATTTTTTTAAAATATATTTTTCGATATTTTAACGTGAATAGAGTGTTCGGTATATAAAAATAACTATTTTTTCTTCGAGAAATATCGAATAATAGCTAATAAACGGATAAATTTCGGATAATATTTATTTATTTATTTATTTTATGTTATGTTATTTTTTAAACTTCTTTTTCCATATTTTAAATTGAATAAAGTGTTCTACGTATAAATATAATTATTTTTCTTTGCTAAAGAGCGCATAGTCGCAGAAAAAGGCACAAAAGTCGTATCAGGAGGCACGCACACATCGCACCCCGTAACTCCCTAAAATATGAACCTATAAATATCAATCCTGGCTGGAAATTAGAGTTTAATATAACTAACAATCGTACTAAAGGAATCTTTTATAAGCCAGTTATTGGGCCTACAATGACCCAAAATATGTTTTGTTGACTAACCGGGAGGAGGTGTTTTAAGCTAAATAATCGTGCGACCTGCATGTGAAGCATGGCGAAGTTGGTAGCGCTTTGGGCAACTTAGATTTGTTGTCCCGGAGACCCTGGTTCGAAACCCTGCAAGGGTCGACATTCAATTTTTTTTTATTTATTTTACATTATTTTTTTGATATATTTTTCGATATTTTAACGTGAATAGAGTGTTCGGTATATAAAAATAACTATTTTTTCTTCGAGAAATATCGAATAATAGCTAATAAACGGATAAATTTCGGATAATATTTACTTATTTATTTATTTTATGTTATGTTATTT